ACTGATTTCAATGCAATGTCAAAATTAGCACTGCTAGAACTACCAGTAGAAAGTAGTAATAGAATCCAGATTAGATTATTTTTTCTAGTTTGGGAGGATTGAATACTTGTATGCTTCTCATGTGTCCAATGTTTTTTTAAATACTCCACTTTTATAGCACTTCAAAACTACTATATGTAAAATAAAAATTCTAGTATAAAATGGCTAAAATATATACATAGAATACTAATAAATTTATTAGTTTGGTCAAAATTAATCATGCTGTATACACTGTCTTTAAAATTACTAATTAGCCTACTTGACTATAATTACCAAATAAACCCATCTTAAATTACTTTGTTTCTAAAGCAAGTTATAGAGCTCTTATGCTTTACTAACATAGAAAATCTACAAAAGTTCTTTTTATAAGAAACTTCTAATATAAAAATAACAGAAAGCTCATACGCTGAGTTTATTGCAGTTTAATAAATCACCTCTATTTCTTTATATTTCTTCATTTCTTATATTCTTCAATTGATAATTTCTGGAATTCTCTGATATACTAAGACACCCTCTAACTTTCTACTTCAAAGTTCTTCCTTAAGATCCACAATTATCCATGACTATTTGAGCACCTGGAATCAAAGAATACTACATGAAATTTATAAATAGCTTTACAAAAAAAATTCTATAGATATATTGGAGCCTAAGATGTATTCTCCATTTGAACTAAAATTAACAGGTATAAAATGTGGTGTGGGAAGGAAGCACTTAGGCCAGTTTGAAACTCAAACCCTGATTCTAGCTTCTACTGGTGATTAAATTTGTGATCTTGAACAAAGGTCTTAAGCTCTTGGGCCTAAGTTTCATCAACAGCAAACAGAAAAAACAAAATCCGCTCTGCTTATTTTATAAGATTGGCCTAAGGCTTAAATGAGATCTAGATACTGTATGTAAAGGAATTTTGAAAAACAATGTCTTAAACTCAATTTAAACATTCCAACTGTTACCATGACATAGGAAGTTCACATGCAAGCTCCAAAACAATCATTAAGAACAAAGTTGGATGACTCACACTTTATGGTTCCCAAACTTACTACAAAGCTACAGTAATCAAAACAGTGTGGAACTGTCATGAGGATAGACATATAGATTGGTAGAGCAGTATTAAGAGTCCAGAAATAAATGCTTACATTTATGGTCAATTGATTTTCAACAAGGGTCCCTAGACTATTCAACAGAGAAAGAAAGCATTTTAGACAAGTGGTGAAAAATTACCATATGATCCAGGAATTCCATTCTTAGGTATATATCCAAAAGAAATACAAATGTATGTCCACACAAAATATTTTACAGAAATGTTCAGAGTAGCATTATTCAGAATATCCAAAAAGTAAAAACAACCAAAATGTCCATCAACAGGTTAATGTGCTGTACCCATACAATGGAATATGATTCAGCAATAAAGGTGAACAAGGCATTGATTACATGCTATATAACATGGATGAACTTCAAAAACATTATGCTAAATGAAAGAAGCTAGTCACAAAAGACCATATTTCATACAAGTCCAATGTATGAAACATCCAAAACAGGAAAATCTATAAAGACAGTAGATTAATGCTGAGAGGTAGGGAAGGAGAGGGCTGAAGAAAAAATGGGGGGTGAATGCTAAAGGGTATAAGGTTTCTTTCAGAGATGATAAAATGTTCTAAAATTGATTTTGGTGATGGTTACATAACTCTGTGTATATACCAAAAACCACTGAATTGTATATGTTAAATTTGTGAATTATATGGTATATGAATTATATTTCAAAAAAGCTATTTTCATAAACACAATAATACTATACATTAATAACTAGATCTTGATTCCCAGATAAAAAGGGCTTTCCTAAATGAGAGTTCACATGTAATTATTTTTTTCATTTGACATCTTCAATTTAAGTTTCAGAAAGAAAGTGGTACCAGAGAGGCATGTCAGTTATTCAAAGAACTGAGTAAAATAAAAGAAAAATAGCAAGAATTCCAACATTAGCATAATGCTTTATGGTACATAAAGTACTTGCACAAATAGTCCTGCAGCCAACAAAATAGCAAACCAGAATGAGATGCGTGTCCCCTCACCTGATTTTAAACATGAAGACAACATACTAGACATAGGAAGGTTGACGAATCTCAAAGACATACTCAGTGATTCATACAAAATTTTCAAGAAACACGGAAAGATAGAAAGTGGCTAGTCATCTTGTAGCAGGAAGTGGTAGCCTATATTAGGGGAGGACCAAATCCACATTGTCCACCCATTCCACCTGTTGTGGGGCAGGAGAGAGCAGAACCAGTCCAGTGTCACCCCAAGGCTGCAGACTAATGACAGGGAATTCCAGGGCTCAGCTTGGATTAGGAATCTCTTAGCCACACATGCAGATAATGGGACTATCCCTAAACATTCACTTCTCCCAACCTCAACTGCTGACCTTATAATTCTATCAGTTTATGTGTATGTCTTCCATTACTTCGGGAGAAATTAGAATATATGTATTTGGACACATTGGAGAAAAGTTTAAGAACACTGAGAATCAGAAAATTCTGAAAAATTCTAAGAAGAAAATAGCAATCAAAACAAACAAACAAAAAAGAATCAAATTGACATCAGACTTGAGAGAAAGTTTAAAATTTTGAAGAAGAAAACTTTGAACATAGAATTTTATATCCAATTATACTATTTATGTGTGAGGAAAAAAATGAACATATTGGTAAGCATTTAGGATGTCAAAGAAAATGCCATATAAACTTTTTCTTTGAAAAAATCTTTTGGAGGATTTACCTTAGTGAAAAATGAAAGAAATGCACGAACAAACAATTAGATATAAAAAGTAAATGAGAGTAAAGAAAGATCATTGTTATTTGAACAGGCCACAATGAAGAAAGAAATACGTCCATAATATCTGTATCAAAAATTCCAGGTAGTATCAACATACGGTGGGGAGAAACCAAGGAAGTTAAGAGCATGCCAAAGTATTGATTTTGTTTGAGATGGGAAGTGGAAGAATATGTTTTAATAAGCTTTAGACATTGCTAGGGAAAAATTACTATGAATCTTGATAAGTAAGAGAAACACAAAAACAGAATATGCACTACTCAGTTTAGTAGACAAAAATCAATTTGTCAGAAGAAGTTGGGAGAAAGAATCAAAAAGAAGCAAGGCCAGTAATAACAACAATAACACACACACACACATACACACACACAATAGGGTAGCTGAAATAAGCCTTGGTGGAACAGTAATTACTGTCAATGTAAATATCAATCAAAAAGACTTACAGTAAATAGGAAAATAAAAAATTAACAGTCTTTTCCACAAGGGATATGTATAAAACAGAGGGACATAGAGACTTTGGAAATAAAGGACTACCAGGCAAATATGAACTAAAAGAAAGTAGAGGTAGACATTTTTAAACTCTACAAAATAGAACTTAAGGTTAAAAACATAACACGGATAAAGAATGAAATAAAATTTGAAAAAAATAAAATAAGAAATTATGAACATGTACAGCTAATAATATCTTCTTGAACACTATTAAGGTGAAATTGACATACATGATGACATACATGTATGTTAACATTTGTTCCTTAAACTTGTGAATTTTCTAGTTTTTGATTCTTTCTTTTCCTCCTTGCACTATGTGTACATTACTTGCATTTATTTTTCTCTTGTTACTTGATTTTTAGCAGTTCTTCAGAATGTTTTAAATCAGAGGGGCAGAAAAAAAGAATTTAGATTCAAATAGTCCAGGTTTTCTGTTTGTGAAAGGTTTTTCACTAAAGTTATTAAAACAAGGGGTCAAAATGAAATTACAACACTTGCTGTAACTTTCATTTAATCATTCCTTCTCTTTTGTAATTTCCCACAAGTAATAGAAGAGATACACATAAATTTCCTAATGTTCTAAGCTTCCATGGCAACCTGTGATCCAGAGTAGTAAAAAATCAAGTACATAAAACATTTTTAAACATCATAAGGAAACATACACAAAAATATTTTATTCCTTACAAAAACTGGTCCTTTGTATAACATCCATGAAGTATGATTTATTTTTATGTTTTAAGAATAACCAAAAATGCTATAGACAAAAGCAATTATATTTGTACCTATGTTTTAGGTGGATTCTATTTTTATATTCCTACTTTCCTTGATGTAAAGAAAAATTTGAAAATAGCAACATAAAATTAGTCAAATATGACCATTTTTAAAAAGAGAGAATAAAATGTTTCAATTCTACAGAGTTTCTTAATCTTTCTACTTAAATATCTTGCCATATAAAAATGGAAATAAATATAATAAACATATAATTAAATTAGTATGCCTCAAACTACTTCACTTAGTCATTAAACAGAATCTGTGAATTTTTCTTCTAAGTTATTATTTTCAAAAACCATTTCATGCATTATTTTACAATTCTAATACCACATTTACTCACACATAATGATTTCTGTTTCACCATACTCTATTTCTGCCTTTGTAATAAAGGAATATAATAATACAGCCATTAACCACAAATAAAAATATTCATTATGTTTTACCCTTTCAACATTCAGAAATGAAACTATGTAATTAAAATGCAACTCATCTCCACCCACCTTTTATAGTAAACTGTTAACAGAGATAGATGTGAATTGTTAACTAAGGGGTACTGGGTACTCCAAAGACTAAATATAAGCACTTTATTTCTTCCATCATATCTATATCTTAAATTCCTTCAGCTCCTATCTGTCAGGGAAAGGCTTCCAGGTGAGCAGTCTGTCACTCTTGCCTAGGATAATAGATTCTCCAGTGACTTTTGTTACAGCTCATGTCACAGGATTAAAACTATGTGCCTTGAAAATGGCATAACATATGTAGTTGAATCTTGTCAACTCTCAATAATCAGACTCTGTTTGGCTTCACAAGCAGATGCAGATTAGAGAAGCAATATAAATATGCAAATCACAGTGATCCCCTTTCAGCACCACTGTTCCTACCTCTAATGGCCCTCGCAGAAAGTCTGTTTGTTCAGCTCCCACTTCCAGTGCTACATCAACAGAAGCAAAAGGACGGCTGGCCATCTGCTGCCGTTCTCGAAGCAATTGCTGGAGGGGGTTAAAAATGACTTGCTTTAAAACAGGTTTAAAAGCACATTAAATTCAATATTATCTGGGTACATTTTTTAACAAAGGGCACTGAAAATTTAGGAATCACTTCATACATGTATCCATATCTAGAGCACTAAAGATGAAAATTACTTTCTACCCATGGCCTGGGTTACACTTCCATAGAAGCTTTAAACGTATGGTGCTTACAAATAACTTTTCTCCTGACCTCCATCCCACAGGCCTAATAAAATGTACTCAAAAGCACTTTGAAAACCTCAGGTGAGAGGTACTACTTAAGTAAAAAGTGCTATTACTGTGATGGCTATGCCAAATTTTCCCACTCAAAATAACTCATGTTTTTGCTTTTGCTGAAAAATAAAACATTAAAAATGTTTAAGAAAAAGTAATGAAAAGCTGTCACAATGCATTAATAGAGATTAAAGGAGCACATACCCACCAAGATTAAGTTTTATAAGTCAAGGTTCCCTGTCAATTACTATGGAACCAGCAGGAATTGTTATTGGCAGTGTTTTTAACTTTATTTAAAGCCTCTGTGTTCATTATTTAAAATGAAGAATGATTATTAAGTTGCAGAAATTTTGTGCCAGGACTTCTAAGGCACCCCCACATATTTTTCTTTCTCCTTTTCCCTATTCTGGGCTTTTCCCAAGCTAAAACCAATAAACTAGCAAGTCCCAACCAACTAACAAGCTAATTTATATTTCTGCCTCTCCTTGTAATTATAATATTCATTAAGTCATGATAAGAAAAAATTGATGACCAGCAATAGATACTGCAATTCTTGCTCCTCTTATTCTATACAGCTAATAAAATTATTATTAAATATTAAAACAGGATAAGTGATGCAATTAAATACTCTACAATGAGAAGAAAATCCTATCGTTGAAGAATGGCAAAACCCTTGAACACAAGGAATAGCTTCATTATTTATAGAGATTTTTATTAAAGATTCACTGACATTAACTTAAAACATTAACTACTGGTTTTTGAATGCAAATGGATATAGCATTGTGATGTAACATTCACAAAATTCCCTTATAGATGATGCAGGGATACATGCTAACATTTGACCAGCAGTTTATTATTTAACATTTTTATTTTAAATTCCTGGATTTTATTATTAAAAAGAGAACATTCACATGATAATATGAGATAGAAATAATGCACCGGTTAATGAATAATAGTTCAAGTTCATACATATTTTTTAGAAGTAATGGATTTGAAAATACATATTCAAAGTAATAAGGAAATGTTATCTAAATTATCAAATTATTCACTGTAACATAAACTCAAAATTATATCATTAAAAATACAGGTGCTCACAAATAGAATCTAGTTTATGCCTCTCTCAATAGGAGTGTCTAATTGATCTGAATAGTGTGTCTGTGCAAAATGCAAACATAATGTCATTTTAAATATCAAGTGTAGAAGACACCATGGTCTTTGGTAAAAACATACACACCAACATGCCAAGACACACACACACCCATATACACACAAATATACAATCTATCTTTCCTATAGTAATGTACAAAGAGCACTGATAAAATTGTAAATTCCAGTTTGTGTTGGAAAACATTTTCTAAGATTTGTATTAATAATTTTATCTATTTGTATTAGTTCTTCTTAGCTTACAAATGGTATTTTGTGTGATTAAGTGATTTTTTTTTTTTTTTTTTTTGAGACAGAGTCTCGCTTTGTTGTCCAGGCTAGAGTGAGTGCCGTGGCGTCAGCCTAGCTCACAGCAACCTCAAACTCCTGGGCTAGAGTGATCCTTCTGCCTCAGCCTCCCGAGTAGCTGGGGCTACAGGCATGCGCCACTATGCCCGGCTAATTTTTTTTTATATATATATATCAGTTGGCCAATTAATTTCTTTCTATTTATAGTAGAGACGGGGTCTCGCTCTTGCTCAGGCTGGTTTTGAACTCCTGACCTTGAGCAATCCACCCGCCTCGGCCTCCCAAGAGCTAGGATTACAGGCGTGAGCCACAGCGCCCGGCCTCGATTTTTTTAAACAAATGAACAGCTTCTGTTTCCTCATCTTGCCTTTTCCTCATACCTAAAAGTTCTACAAAATATAATTAATGTACACTTAACATCACAAATTATACTGAAAATCAATAAATATTCCAAATTCACTATCTTTGACACAGAAGAGAGTTCCCTGGAATATATTAAAATTGTGACTCTCAATACTTACAATTAAGAAAAATCAGTGACTGATACTTTTGTTCAATTTTTTAAGTTTATTTGTAGAATGCAAAAGTATTTTTAAAAATTCATTTGTCTTCTGAGCTTTGAGTTTCTCTCACTTTGTAAGAATTAAATGTCTTTTAAAATTATTTTTTGCAAGGTAGAAGAAAAACACTGTTTTTGCCCAGGACCACAACACTATAGTTTATAAAACAAGATGTAGTAAAATAAAAACAATTAGGACACAATATAGTACATCAGTAAAGAGCACAAATAGGAAATTAGACAAATGAATTTATTCTGGGCCACTTAGAAGAAGGCTAGAGGACTCTTGGTGACATAGCTGAGTTTCTGACTTTGGGAAACTAATGCAAATGTTCTTACTGTGAAACTTAGGAAGGGTAAACTTTCTCCTGACATACTCTTGCTTTGGTATGATGGTCCTAAAATAATAAAATGGAATAAACTGTGATTATCTTTGTTACTAATTTTTGGTGTGGTATCCTTAACAATTATCCTGTCTTGCCAATTAATATCGGGATGCATTACTTCCTGAATTTTGCTCTATGCTAGAACACAGGCAATGCAAACAACATGCTTACAATTTAAACTATCAAAATTTACACAGATAATGACACGCAATATAGCTAGATACTGGAGTGAAGCCTGCTTTTGAATACCAGCTTCTCTGGTTTTTAGCTATTTGAAATTACCTCTTAGCTTCTATTTTTCTCAACTGTAAAGTAGGAATAATGGTTGTATCTACACATACACCTATATCTCAAAGAATTTGTTTTAAATCCCAGCTTCTGGACCATAATCAAATTACTTAGACCTTTCAAATACTCATTCTTTCTCTCTATAAAATGGGAATAACGATAACATCTATAAATCATACGGCTGGGACTAAGGAGATGGCATACTTGGGGACTACTCAGCACAGAGACTGGCACATTATGAGCACTCAATAACTGTTAATTGGTACAATTATTATGTTAAATTTCAAACACTATTTTTGTCTCTGAAGATGGCATACTAATTACCACAGGCCCATTTTCTTCAGCACTAGTGACACATTTTGCTCTACTAGTGTCCCTTTTAACAAATGTTGCAAATTTATGAGACAGTTGGAAAATGTCATTATTGTGGTAAAAGGAATTTAGATTTGGAACTGCTTTTTTCCATTTGTGGCTAAGAATGATAAAAACTCAACCTGAGAATTAGGAAATAGTATATAGTACTTTGTTAAGAAATTGTGAAAATTAATCTATTTTCTGTGATTGTGTTTTTATATAAAATGAAGCATAACATGTTGTACATCATAAGAAGCCATACAACAGATGTATCTGTATTATAACTAATCTGCTATTGCCAATTATTCAGCAGAACAATAAAGCCAAAAGAACAAACTGATCACAATACAATAGATTACATTCATGCTGCCATAAACATTGTTGTTAAGAACATTTAAAAGTTAAAGAGCTGTTAGTTTTATATTTGCTGCCCATAATAACTGTTCTACTATTTAAAATCTCTTACAAATCATGAAATTAAAAATAATATGAAAATCCATGCTTAAATTGGACAACCAGGTATAGTCATTGATTCTATCAAATGTATATATAAATACAGATAATTCATCCAATTAATACTACTACTTCAAATATTCTATCATTCCTCAAAGTTCATACTAGTCACCTACTGCAAGGCATTCAACTTTCAGATTTTACAATAATAATCCTTAAAAACACACATATGCACAAAACAAAACAGTAACTAACTCTGTCCCCAATTGTCTTCCTACCTCCTACTACGTGACTGTTATGTTTAGGTTCCCTATCTATCCTCTCCTCCACCTCCAAATGTCCTTCTACTTCATCCCAAGTTTGAAATGATCACTTTTCCTTTGAATTATTTATTATATTAATGAGGCCCTACATCTTTATATCTCTATGCTTTTCTGGAATCTTCTTTAAGGAAAATTTTATTTTTAGTTGTTTTTCATTCCCTTCAGCACTTACTTGGTAGTAAATAATATTTGATGAATGAATGACAAATCTGTGAATAAAGTATAACATAAAACTCTGTTGCATTCAAATGTGGGTAGAGGCGAGTTATGAGAAAACTCATTTTAAGTATGAATAAACTTTAAAAACTATGATATGTCCTTTGAATTCTAGAATTATATCTTATCTCCAAAATAGTGATTTATTTTTTTAGAATGAGGCAGTTTTGTGAATCTGTTTTTCAAATCAACATTAGGTTTCATATTGCTCCTCATTTAGCTTATTGCAAAACTGCAAAGATTATGAAATAAAATGCCATAAAGTCATCATAATGCATTAATATATCTAATAGCAATTATATCGAAAAGATTTTGGAAAGGTATAAAAGGAGCAATCAAAATGATTTTTTTCATTACTCTCTAGCTTACATACTAAAATGAACAAAGCATCTGAGTTAAAAATTAAGCAATCATCCATGAAATAGAATATTTCTGTTATTAACAAAAACACATTGAACATAGAATAATATAAGTAAACAATCAGGTTTTTTTTGGTGTTAGCATAGTGTGAAGAAGTAAAGAGAAGTGTCAATATCTTTTAGTAACATTGAGTTAGGAAAGTGTGATACTCAATCCTTTTATGTAACTAAATCTGCAAGGCACAAGGCTCAAACTCTTATTCAGAATATGGGGCATCTTTTGTTTCCAGTCTTACAGTCTGAAGGTGGTTTTCCTAGATAGTGACGTTAGTACATTATAGGAGTGGCTTGGGAGAAT